AGCTGCTAAGCACTATGGAGGTAACATTTTGTAAGCCAATGGTAAGATCAGATAGCGCTAAGTATGGATTTCTTCTAACCTCATTATTATCTTTTATAAATTAATACATATTTTTAGGTAGAATATTCTAAATTCCTTATAACTCCTATGCCTGTCAATAAGTCTAGTTAATTTACAGTAACAAATACAAAAATCAAATTGGGGTAGGCATTGTGATTTCTGGGACCAGGGAGTACTTACTTAACAACATAAACTGATTCTCCTTTAGATTGTTACTTTACTTAGAGCACGTAACTATTTACTCTTTCCATAAGTATAACCCCCTTGGTGTTCTGCTAATAAAACAACAATTAATAAAAAATGTTTAATAATCTATAGGGCAGTACAAAGCTGAAATCATATAGAATATTTACATATTTAGAAAATGTGAGTAATGAGATTATAGGTGCAGTTAATATTATCTGGAAGCCATAAGAAGGCCTATGCTGAAAGAAAGACTGAGAGACAAACTATGGCTTTTCAAACTTGCATATTTGGTAGATATTTTCTCAAAATGAACAGAGTGTGCCTGTTGCTTGAAAGAAAACAAGTAACAGTGTTAGCAGCCCAGTGATTCTCAACTGGAGCTGTTTTGACCCCCAGGTGACATTTGGCAATGTTTGGAGACATCTTTGGTCCTCATAACTAGGGGATGTGGGGGGGGGGGGGTGCTACTAGGTAGAGGCCAGAGATGCTGGTAAACATCCTACAATGTATAGGCAGCCCCCCACAACAAAGAATCATCTGGTTCAAAACAACAATAGTGTTGAAGTTGAGAAATCCTGTGATAAAAGTTAAGCGTTCAAGCAAAAGAATAAAATTTTGTAAAACTTGATCTGCCACCATAAGCTTGACAGTTTCCTAATACCTAAAGAATTTTCTGATGAAATCAGTGGTGATATTAATGAATGTACAATTCTGATATTATACAATAAAATGTGTCAACATTTGGAAGGTCCACATAACTCAGTGAAATAACATATTCCAAATGACCAATGCAGGATGTTACAAAATTATGCTTGGTTAAAAAATCCATACAAAGTGTAAAATATATCAACAGATGTTAACGTAGCAGAGCATAAAAAGGTCACTGCTATGGTTTCAGATTCCACACTTCAACAACTTGAAGAAACGACAATTTGTCAAGTTTTAGTGCAGTATTAAAGAAGAATATCCATGATTTTCTGAAAAGGCTATTAAAATCTTCCCTTTTCCAATTATATATCTATATAAAGCTGAATTTTCTTTATATACTTCAACCAAAAGAACATACTGAACAGACTAATTCAGCAGCAGATGTGAAAATCCAGCTGTCTATATTAAGCTAGATATTTTAAAAACTTGTAAAAACACAAAATGCCACTCTACTTTTTTTCAAAATGGTTACTTGCATAAAAATATATTGTTACCATATGATAGGTTTCCTACTGTTATTTTTAAATTAATTAGTAGTTTAAAAATTTCTCAGTAAATTGGTACATTTACTGATATTGGTAAAGTTCAATGGCTATAACGCACACAAACAAAAGCTCTTTGGGTGTCCTCAATAATTTTTAAGACTTAAAAGGAGTTCTGAGACTAAACAGCTTGAGAATTACTTATTTATAGTTTTTAGGTGCTGACCCTTGGATTATTTAATATCCCTATTTTCCAGGTACTGGGCAAAGACTAAATCAAGTAAAATTCTAAAAAGCTATCATAGGTGTACATATGCCTGAAATGTGTTTGAAATTACTGTTTGACCGTGTAACCAGAAAGCAGTTCAGTACTACAGTTTAAAACATAACAGTTGCCATGAGTGCTGAACTATTATTATCTAATATGCTTCAAAGTATCACTCGAGGTGCAAACAATATACAATTTCATGGAAATGAAGCCATTGCAAGGTATTTCCTACATCATCATTGCCACTTTTTAATCCCCATTATCTTCAAATACCCTGCCATTTTCAAAAATGTTACATGCCATGCAGTCTTATCAACTTTACAGATACAAGTTTATTAATGAAAACTCTTGCCAGTTAAAGACATTGAGTTTTGCAATAAAACAACATCATTTAACTCATTAAGGCCCAGAATGTTACCAACATTTGTGTCATAAGAAACAAGCCAAATTATTAAAAATGTGTATGTTTCAAGACCCAAAAGGTCCATTTTGTCTATGACAAAACAAAGTAATTTTTCACTTTAATAAAGCATTTATAGATGGCCCTATCCTCATGAGAATTAAGGTAATGCAACAGTATCTTGCTGATGTTACAAATATTACATCTAAATAAACAAATGTATTCATATGTATTTTATAATGACATAAAAAAACAAAAACAAACCAAGCCCTATCAATGTCAGGGTGAAGAACGGTTAAATCTCCAGACTTAAGAGGGTATATCTACCTAAAACTTTCAAATGTGAAAAGGAAATCATGTTAAAATATCTGCCTCGATTTTTCTGTGAGTACTGAATATGCAACTTTGGAACACCTCTCACATAAAAATGCTGAGTAGCATGTTGCATTCCCGCTCTCCTTTTTAAAGGGATTAGGACTGTGAGCTCTGGAATTAGAGCATTTGGGTTTCAATTCCAGCTCTATAGTTCACTGGTAGTGTAACACTGGGCGAGGGGCTCAATGTTCCTGTGCCTCAGTTTCCTTATCTGTAAAATGGAGACAATGGCAGCAAGTATCCCCTAGAATTTATGTACAGGCTGCCTGAAAAAATACATATACGTAATTTAAAACAATGTTTGATACACAATAAGCACTCAATAAATGTGAGCTATTATTGTTGTTATAGTATTAAGTATTAATATTACCTAATTCCCCAGACTACATAGGATAGCAACCACAAAACCATGGCATCCAGAGCTGACAGTGACAAATGGTGGATGTAGGAACCTACATGACTGCAAATCTTTTCCTTAACCACTTTAATATTCTTTTGGTCAAAGGAGGGAGATGAATACTAACATTTACTGAGCAAGAGCTAAGTGTAAATGATAGAGCTAAAATAAAAAAAAAATTTTTTAAGTAAGTGTTGAAGTGGATTTAGAAATAACTGTCAATAAATTCTAAAGCACTAGTCACAAAATAGTTATATTAGTAGATCTTATAAAATTCTGTAGAATCTCCAAAATAACATAAGTATATATATCTTTAGAAGATTAAATAATGCTAAGAGATCAATGAACCCTGAAAAAAAAAGGTCTAGTCAGTTATCTATATTTGGATCAGTATCTTCTGCCTAAAGCTTTGAGACCAAGGAAAGAAACAGCAATTTCTAGAAAATAAAAAAGTAAAATACAACAAAAAACATTGCCTCCTCACGTGACATAGAGGGCACATATAACTTAGGAAAGAATTAATTGTTGGATGTTAATTATCATAATATATCAAGTATTTAGCATCACTCCTATGCAACACCTTAGGTTTAAAAGGTGCAGAATTTACTCATTCAACCATTTCTTAAGCACATGCTGATGAACTAGGTACTGTGCTAAATACTGGGGAAACAAAGATAAATGAAACGTAGCCTCCACTTCAGGAAGTTCACAACCTTTTGGAGAAGACACGTATGTAAACAATTCAAATACCACAAAATAAATGCTTAAAAAATAGAGATAGGAATAGAGTGCTCTGGGAGCCTTGAAAGGGACATGACTAACTGCCTGGGGCACCAGAAAAGACTTTATGGAAGAGGTAACATTTATGTTTTTTTATTTATTTATTTTATTTATTTTTATTTTTTCCCCCCAAAGCCCCAGTAGATAGTTGTATGTCATAGTTGTACATCCTTCCAGTTGCTGTATGTGGGACGCGGCCTCAGCATGGCCAGAGAAGCAGTGCGTCGGTGCGCACCCGGGATCCGAACCCGGGCCACCAGCAGCGGAGCGCGCGCACTTAACCACTAAGCCACGGGGCTGGCCCAAGAGGTAACATTTAAACTGGATCTTAAAGGTGGACAAAGAGTTTTCCAGAGTAAAGGAGAGACATTCTAAGTACAGGGAACAACACGTGTGCAGAAAGTATGAAGCAATAATAAGTTTGGAGGACGATGACATTTTCCGTGGCTGAAGCACTGGGCGCCTGAGAGAAAATGAGGCAGGAGAGGTAGGTCTCAGATTATGTCAGATTATCGGCTCCCATATGGGCAATCCTGTGAGCAATGAGGTCCCAGCAAAGGTGTTCCACCAGAAAAGTCACAGATCAGTTTGGTTTCTTAGAAAAACAACTCTGATGCTCCCTTGGAGGACGCACTTAAATAGAAGACAACCCAAATCTAACCTGCTAAGTAAGAACTCTGTGGAGCCATTATTCTCTCCTTGCCTGAAAAAAAGAGCTGCTTTAGCAAAATAGTGTCCCTAAACTGATGGTCACAAATCAATATAAATTGAATCATCGGGCCGGCCCCGTGGCTTAGCGGTTAAATGTGCGAGCTCCGCTGCTGGCGGCACGGGTTTGGATCCTGGGCGCATACCCACTCACCGCTTGTCGGGCCATGCTGAGGCCGCGTCCCACATACAGCAACTAGAAGGATGTGCAACTATGACATACAACTATCCACTGGGGCTTTGGGGAAAAAAATAAATAAATAAATAAAATTATAAAAAAAAAAAAAAAAATTGAATCACCAAGACTAAGAGAACCAAAGTACATACACAAATACATCCTATTAATGAATAATTATAATGGTCTCACAGAAAATTGTTAATAGGACTATAATGAAAGAAATATTCATCCCTAGAACAGCAGTAAAATGTTTTTTAAAGTGACAAAAAATTATGTATACTCCAAAATATCAACCATAAAGCAGCTTACTTTTGCTTCTTTATACTTTTGGGTTCTTTTCAAAATTTCCACAATAAGAGATTAGTACATTTATAATCAGTAATAAATTTTAAAAGCACACTGTTCATTGCATTTCATAAACAATTATCTTTATAAAAATCTTAAAACTAAAATATTACCTTTTTGTCTCCTTGTTTTCTTCTTCTTAATCCTGGTCTATAATCATCTCCAAATCTCAGAAAGTAGTAATAAGAAACTAGCCTCTCAATAGGATCCCTTATGACATTAATGTAAATTGGCTTTTTCTTCACACCAAATCTGAAATATAACAAAATTTAAAAGGTGAAATCGACATTTTCACTCTGTTTAGGGGTGTCCTGAAAAATATAAGTTTGAGGTATTGATTCTATACGGATTCTATATGGATTCTATAATTCATGATTCTACATGAATTAATTTAAATGAAACAGATTATATGAAGATTAGGAAATATTTTATGATTATTTATGATACAATAAAGTAAACAATAAAAAATTAAAAATTATGGCTTAAGATAAAGGAGACAAGGCAAAATTGAATGAAAAATAATTTTAAATTTTACTGGCAAGAATTACATAAAACATTTAAATTTTATGTAGCAATGATTTCTCATTTCTGGCCCACCAAACTACATAAACATCATCAACGGACACAGCTAAGTACACACAAGTGTGACCTCTTTTTTTTTTAATGTTCTCTCCCGCCTTTATTTTCTGGACAAAGTCACCACCTGTTAGGTGCATCTTCCATAGATGGCCACTCAGCCCCACAGTGGTCCCTGACTGGCCCCTTGGCTGGTGACTTCTACTACTGCTGATTTTAAAGACAAGATAGAAGAGAAAGACATCAAGTTTTCAGCATCACTTCCTTAGGGGACGACAGAGTTGAAGGCACACAGAAGGCTTTTACTTTACAACCCTTGCAGAGCCTAGAATGTCCAACTGGCTCCCTGCTCTAATACCCTCACTTCCCCCAGTCTTGAAACTTTAGTGTTATCCTGATTCTTTCCTTTCCTTTATTCTTCATTTAGGACAGTTTCCAAGACCTTTTGATTTTTTCTTTTGGAGGCTTTCTCACAGATTTGACCTGTCTTCATCATCCCCTTTCTTTTCACCGTTGCTCTCTTCCTGGGCTTCCTGCTTGGATTACTGCAATAACCTCGCTCGTTTTCTTGCATCCAGTTTCCCTCCCTTTCAATCTACCTTCCGAACCAATTCTCAACTGATATTCCTAAAACACCACTTGTTAGATCACTCTTCTTAGGAACCTGAAATAACTCTACTGTTTATGTTGACATCAAACCCAAACTCCTTTGCCTGGTTGTTAATGTCTCCTTGCCTATGTGTTACGTACCACCTTATTGATCTATCTTCAACTCTCCTCAAAGACACCATCTATCTGTTATAGGTCGGCCCACCTCTCCTACCTCCCTAACAGACCATACTTATTCCTATTTCTCCTTAAATGCCTTTGCTAATTCTGTCTCTCTTAATTAGAACGTCATACTCATTTTTCTATTCTTTTTTTCTATTACATTAATTCATTCAAAAAATACTTTTCTGTGTACCCAGTATATGCCAGGCACTATTCTGATTCTAGGAATACAGCAATGAAAAAAAAAAAAAGACAAAATTCCTTATCCTTCTGGGGGTAAGATTCTACTTGGGAGAGACAGAATATAAAAAAGGAAATAAGTAAATATGTCAGATGGTAAAAAGTACTGGAGAGAAAAATGATGCAGCGAAAGGGCATAGGGAGTGCCAGGAGAAGTGGGGAGAGGACAGTTCAAAATAGGGTTTTTCAGGAAGGCATCACTAGTACTATGTGATGAGAAGGGAGCCATATAGCTATCTGGGGGAAAGTGTTCCAGGAAGATGAGACTCCCGAGTGTGAAGGCCCTGAAGCAGCTAAGTGTCAGGTGTTTCTGAGGAACAGCAAGGAGATCAATCTGGCTGCAGCAGAATCAGAAAGGGGATAATAACAGAGAATGAGAGTAGAGAGATGGGGTGGGGTGGGGGAAGTGCAGAGCATGTGGGCCTTGTAGACCATTATAAGCATCAGGAGGAAGGCCTGACTGAGTCAGCAGAGAAGTGTCATGGTGTGGGATCTAAAGTACAGCGTGATGACTAGAGTTAACGATACTCTATCATGCACATGAAAGCTGCTATGAGAGTAGAGTTTAAATGTTCTCACCATAATAGTAGCAACAACAACAAAACGGCGATTATGTGAGGTAAAGGCTGTGTTAACTAACCTTCTTGTGGTAAACATTTAACAACATATACAGGTATCAAATCATCACACTGTATACCTTAAACTTACACAGTGTTATCTGTCAATGTTATCTATATCTAGCTGGGGGGGATAAGGCCATTGGCTGCTGTTTTGGAATAAACCGTAGAGGGACAATAACGAAATACATGGGAAAAATATGTTCTGTGGTCGCAGACTCCACCCTTAACCCTGGCCAGTCATGAGCTGTTCCTCAGGAGGGCTCAGGTAGATGAGTAGAGAACCCACCTTCACTCCAGGAAAATAAACTATTATTGACCTGTTAGAACGTGATCTTCCTAGGAAGAGAAGAGCATATTTGCTAGAAATCTGCGATGTTATGTGAGGATCAAAGGGGAAAAGTATAATCTGAGCAGCAGGTTGGTAAGGAGACATTTTAGGATCCTTATTCTTGCCATGTCAGCACATGTGGTTTGACAAGGCAAGGAACACAAACGAGGCTTGCTCCTTCACAGCTACACTCTCCACAGCTCGCATAGATGAGTGAACATCAAGAATGGTTAAAAGAACAGGTGCAGACTCAGAACATTTGGAAGGAATCTTGTCAACTGACTAGACAAAGCCTAAGTGGAAGATGATGAAGCTGGAAAAGGGCTGAACAGCCTTTGGGAAGCATCATGCTTTGAGATTTCTGCTTCAGACTAGATTTAACATCTCCAGTTAAGCAGCAGTCTCACTGGAGGCACTGCTGTCTTATACGTATTTATACTGGACCCTCTTAGCCCTCAAGTGTTCATAGAAACTTTGAAATCCATCTAGTGGCAAGTTCTCATTGTCTTGTTTCAAAAATAGTGAATGACTTGATGGTATTTGTTGGTCCCACTGATGACAATGTTGTGAATAAATGATTTTTAAAGTAATTATTTATTTCTTAAAAAGGGCATTCACCTACTATGCATCTATTAGAATGGCCCAAATTTAAATAAAAAGGTCTAACACCACCAAATGCTGGAGAGAATGCACAGCAACTGGAACTCTCACACACTGCTGGTGAGACTGCAAAATAACATAGCCACTTGGGAAAACAGTTTCGTAGTGTCTTACAGAGTTACCATAAAATCCAGCAATCCCACTTCTAGGTTTTACTCAAGAGAAATGAAAGACATACGTCCACACACAACCTGTATGCAAATATTCTAGCAGCTTTACTCATAATCAACAAAAGTTGGAAACAACCCAAGTATCCAGAAACTGGCAAAGGACAGAAATTATAGAGTATCCACACCATGGAATACTACTCAGTAAGGAACTAACTATTGATACATGCATCAAACTGGATGAATGTCAAATGCATTATGCTAAGTGAAAGAAGCCAGACTCAAAAGACTTGGTGACTGATTAGATACATGTGGTGAAGAAAAGGGTTGTCCAAGATGCCTCTCACTTCTTGCTTGACGTCTTGATAAATAAAGATGGATAAACTTCCCAAATGAGAGTAATGGAGGCAAATACAGAGTATTGAGCAATGCCTTATTAAGAGTTGGAATAGAAGGGCCAGCACAGATTCAGTCAGGGAGAAAAAGAAAACACCAGTAAGACAACATGGTAACTGAAAGAAGACAGAATTTTAAAAGAACATAACACTGCTCTGTGTGAGACACAGAACTATGTGCTTCACATACATTATCATATTTAATCCCTACAACCACCCATGAAGCAATTACTTTAATTATCCTCATTTCACAAATGGGGAAACTGAAGATCTGCAGTAATGCGGCTGAGACCGCAGAGCTGGTAAGGAACCGGCGGGGATTTAACTGCAGGTCCGTCTGACTTGAGAGATTGCTCCTTAGCCGTCTGCAGGATCAGTGCTGTAGAAAGAGCTAGTAGTACAGGGTCAATAAAAAGGCTACGCTCAGGGCCGGCCCAATGGCATAGTGGTTAAGTTCACGTGCTCCGCTTCGGCAGCCCGGGTTTCGCAGGTTCAGATCCCAGGCATGGACCTACGCACTGCTCATCAAGCCATGCTGCGGTGACATCCCATATATCAAGTAGAGGAAGAGTGGCACAGATGTTAGCTCAGCAACAATCTTCCTCAAGCAAAAAGAGGAGGATCGGCAACAGATATTAGCTCAGGGCCAATGTTCCTCACAAAAAAAAAAAAAAAAAGGGCAACTCTCGTCTACTGCCTGTAATGATTAAAATAATTTAAAAAATGTCTCTACAGTGTTGTGACATATTTGTTGAAAGCTGTAGAAAACGGTGTAAACTTCAACTGGTTCAGCAGAGAAGCACAAGGTGAAAGGGACAATCTCACATGATCTATATACTACCAAACTCTATTTAGGCCTAAAATATTGTCACTTTATTCCTCTCTAGGATATTTCAGACCTAGTGAAGCATTTAATTATTTGGTTCTTGTCCTGACATATCTGCTTCTTTACTGATTCACCTCAGTTGTTCTGAAAAAGACAAGAGGGGTTATATGGAGACACCAAAAGGACAATGATGAAAACCCATGCTCATTCCTGGGGACGACCACAAAGGCACCCGCCTGATGTGCGCCTGAATAAAACTGACTATGTTGTATCTAAAATAATTTCCAAATACCTCTAAGATAGATGCTGACATGTGACCCCTTAGGTAGCTAGATCATGAAAAATCTCAGCAGAGTCTGATCGAAACCAGCATTAAAACAGTTTTCTTTTAGCCGAACATTATTCATTATAAAGGAAATGTTCCTGAAAAAGGTTTTTCAAAGACATGTTTTTCTTTTGTAAAATTCAAAGAAAATCAAAGTGCAGATAATAGATGCTGCTGATAAATGAGTAGTATGAATTTTAAAGGGAGGGTAATCTGTAATATTTACACTATTTATAACGAAACATAATGAACTGATAATTGTGGGAAAAATGGGGTTTCAGTGAACTCACTGAGGACAAGAACGGCACCTTATTCAACTTTATATTGCCCGCAACCTAGGAGATTTTGAAAATGTCCCACCTATACAATTGTTTTTAACTGGAAAATTTCTCAATTTATGACACTAATTATTATATCTACATTATTTAAAAATTTTGTTGTCCCCTAAGTGAAAGAAAATATAACAGTAATTCAACACTAGAGGGAAAAATGGAAGGGAGAACTAGGAATGTGCTAAAAAAGTCAAGAATAGGATTAAGACAAAAAGGAGCAAGACAAGATAGAAATGCAAATATGTAACAAGAAAATATTTCTGCTATTATTCTAAAAAACCAGATAAATATAACTAAAACATGGCTTGAGCAGAGGCTTGCAAACAGAATGTGTGCTTCTTATTGAGCAGTCTAAACTAGAAAGAACTTTTCATTTTTTATTTCTCTATCTTACTTCCTGGGTTTCCACTCTTTAATTTTTAGTGTCTCTGCTAAGGCAAGTGAAAAGTTATGTGATTAAATATTTCTTTCACCAAATTCAACTGTTCTCTCCTGAAGGCAAGTATTTTGATGGCCTCCACAAAGTACCATACCAGTCAAGAATATGTTTTGAAGAATAAAGTACTTTAAAAATTGGTAAAGTGATGTTTCTTTCCTCTTCCTTATTTACTTATGATGAGTATGGCTGTCAACCTAAAAATTTATTTTAAAAGATCCTAATTACAGCTACAATAGTTCTTGACTATATACATGAAAATACATTTCCTCTAGTTGATTTTTTTAGGTATTCGTTTAAAATCTTGTAAAAGTCTATTAAAAATTTTCACAATACTTTTCACTTCCAATAATATGAGACTGATTATGAAAACATTCAAACCCTTAAATGTTCATGTTAGTATTTAATAAGTGAGATTAATCTTTTCAAGAAGCTTTATACTTTTTCAACGGCAAGAATCCTAGCATATACCAAATCTTCATTCTAAGTACAAGACTTTTGCTAAAAGCAAAAGTACTCAATAGATTATTTTCATAATGAAAAGCTAAAGTATTAGAAACCAAGCTAGGGGCCGGCCCCGTGGCTTAGCGGTTAAGTGCATGCGCTCTGATGCTGGCGGCTTGGGTTCGGATCCCAGGCGCGCACCAACGCACCACTTCTCCAGCCATGCTGAGGCCGAGTCCCACATACAGCAACTAGAAAGGTGTGCAACTATGACGTACAACTATCTACTGGGGCTTTGGGGAGATAAATAAATAAATAAACTTTAAAAAAAAAAAAAAAAAAGAAACCAAGCTATGTGTGGAAAAAATAAATCATTTAGGTGAAAGGGTAACAAACAGTCAGTTGAAGGGTAATGCAGCCCTGAGGGAAAATATGCCTGTGAATGAAGTTATGAAATTGGTTTGACGCCTCTGTAAAGAAAAAACAGTTTATTTTAAAGCTGCCTATAAAATGTTTTCAATATTGCAGCATGAATTATTTATAGAAAAATGTACATCTAACTTTAAAGCTACCATTTTACTGAAAGATCTTGAGTACTGTGGGAGGAACTAGAAATAAGCATATATTGTTTTCTATATGTAATATTTGAGAGATTCCTTTTTAATTACATGCTTTTCAAAAAACTTAAGATTTATTATCAATCTGAATCAGTAATATTTCATTCAACTCTTTTTCTTTTCAAATTTAAGAAGTTAAAATGACAATGGGATATCAATTTAATTTTCAAATGTTACACAGAATGCTCTTTAAAGTTGACAAACACATGAAGGTGTATTACTTGGAGTCATGACTACTAACGAAATGACTGGGCGAACATGTCGAAGCTTAAATAATTAAAAAAATATATTTTTAATGTTTTTAAAGTTAGTGCAGAATCTTTTTTTTTTTTTTTTTTTCCCCCAAAGCCCCAGTAGATAGTTGTATGTCATAGCTGCACATCCTTCTAGTTGCTGTATGTGGGATGCGGCCTCAGCATGACCAGAGAAGCGGTGCATCGGTGCGCACCCGGGACCCGAACCCGGGCCGCCAGCAGCGGAGCGCACACACCCAACCGCCAAGCCACGGGGCCGGCCCAGTGCAGAATCTTACTAGAGAAAAGGTCTGATTTGAGATTTTGCGATAATGGTACCCTGTGTGCTACAAAAAATGTTCCAGTGGATTCATAAGCTGCATGTTTAGAAATATTCCTTTTGACCAGTTTTCTGATTAGTACTTCATGTGGCACAGGCTCTAGGGGGCGCCACATAGTGCTTGGATACTGTAAGCAGGCCTGTAGTTGTATGAACTTTTCTTGAGAGAATTATGATAGAAATATCCTGACTGCATCCCTCCCCCAAAATATGGAAAATGAGTTGTTTATCTCCTGTCTCAGGCAAATCACTATAAAGGAAAATCACCATTTTTTAAAAAGTTCTTTTGAACGTATCACAATTTTAAAGCTAAAACAAGGTGGCCCGAGGGAAAGTGCACATTTCACTGTGTCTTGGCTGAGAAGCAGACACAGCGGGGCACCAATAACTGAGTGACGGCTTCTTTGCTTTCTCAGTTCTCAGTCAATGATGGGGTAAGTCATAATCTGACTGGCCTCTAGGTTAAAACTTGACTCTCCTGGAATAGTGTCATTTGGTTGTATGAGAAACATAAATATGATAATGATAAATAACTTTAAAGGGTATTACCTAAATTTAATCTACCTTAAATTTCTAAAATTAATGACAATTATCAATTTATGAACACTAGAGGGCAGTAAAACACTAGAAGGTGTATTTAAATTACATATCTAATAGTGGCAAAGGCAAGCCAGTACATTTTTTTTTAAAATCAAAATCAAAACAATTTTTATAAACCAAGGTTATCTCAATAAAAAAAAAATAACAATTTAATGAATTTATTCCTTGTTAGGTGGTTAAAGTACAAAGCATCCTTTAGTGTGTCATTTTAGGTATAACTTACTTTGCAAAATCCAAATAAGAAACGTGTCCATGATAAAACCCTGGTTTCATCTCTTTCCAGGAAGTTATATTCTTTACAAAGCGCACCTAAAAAAAGAAGAACATACTTATTACTTAAGTACAATTTAAAGAAAATGAAATTTGATGACAGTGAAACACTTTCCATTTAGGCATTTAAAACCAATCACACCAGTTTGATAATTACAGAGCATGAAACACAGGTTTCAACTAAAGAAAGCACAGTGTGATCCATAATTACTAATTCATCATAGAGAAAGCTACTATCACCATACACAGAAAAAAGTGAGAGAGGATCCTGAAGACAAAAATCACACAATGCAATCATTTACAATGCTGTACAGTGAGTACATTTACATGGGTGAGGGGAGGGTAGGTACCAGTGCACATGCTAAAGCAGGCAACACTCCAGTATAGGGACATTCTACTCAAATCTGTTTTCTTCTCAGAGACTCGTTATTCGTAAAAATTCATATTTATTAACGACAACAAATAAAACGAAAATTAACTAATCCTTAAACCAAAATGATTCAAGAAAAGATGATGATTATCAGAAGACTTTAAAGAGCTAAGAGCAGATATCATAAGCTTGTTGGTAGAAAAAGATCAATAAAATTAGAGATGTGATATAGGTAAAACAAAATTTTTAAAAAATATCTACATATTACTATTTGAATTTACTGGAATTAAAACTACACAAAAGATTAGTTAATATGAAAAATTCTTTAAGTGTAAATATACTTAAAAAATTTTAAGAACTGGTTAATACAGAACTTAAACCTAGGTGTCATCAGCTGCAAAGCGGTAACACACAATTTCTCAAAGGAAAATGGCACATATTTTTGATAAGCAAATCCCTGCTTGATCAACGGCAAGTGGTTAGAATCTCTTCTGGAGCCGAGACACAGTGTGGGCGGGGGGTGGGGTGGAGTGAGGGGTAGGGGAACTACCACCCTATACTGGACTGAAGCATCCGCAAGCTGGAACCTCAGCCTCTAATGCACAGGACTGTCAACTGCACACTTCTGACAATTTATCAATCTTTCATTTACATTTTAGAATAGAGTTTGTCACATGGAGATATTCTGGAGCACTTCTTACCAGATTAGTCAATAAATTAATAGCAATGAATGATGATGGCTGCCTCCTGGAAAAGGCCTATTGGTAGGGCAGAGTAGGCAAACAGCAGAAGCAGCCATATGTTAGAGGATGTGAACTGGGTAAAAATGGAAAGTTCTTGGAAATTTATTTTTTAGGGGAAGCATTAATAACTCACATACTAAAAGAAATAATGAAGTTTTTAGAAGGGAAATGAAATGAACCTCAACTTACTCTCTTCCTCTTACACACACACACACCCTTAAAATAAAACCTGAAAATTGAATGTAGATAACAAAATTATGTTGCATTAGAAAACACACAATTAGGGCCGGCCCCATGGCTTAGCGGTTAAGTGCGCGC